CTGAAATATGACAAAGCCATATATGATATGAGGTCAAAGTATCAAAGTCTGAAATATGACAAAGCCATATATGATATGAGGTCAAAGTATCAAAGTCTGAAATATGACAAAGCCATATATGATATGAGGTCAAAGTATCAAAGTCTGAAATATGACAAAGCCATATATGATATGAAGTCAAAGTTCAAAGTCTGAAATATGACAAAACCATAAACGATGAGTTCAAAGTATCAAAGTTTGAAATACGATAATTCCATTTCTATCCATTCATTCAATCATAATAGCTAACTAAGAAATGCTTATATTAAAAGTAAACTCATTGATGTGATAAATTTTAATTTGAAAAAAAAAGATGTTACGAAGAATTTTTTGATTACTTGTGATTTAAGAACTTTGATGAAACAATTTTCACCGCAACAATAAGCTATGGATGAATCATCGCCATTCCAACAAATTCCATAGACCGGATAATTATTTTCCACTAAAATACTCCGTAGCATACCATTTCGGGACCATAATTTTATTGCACCATCTTCACCACCTTCAATTAACAATCATCAATTATCTTTACATATTATCTCTCATTTTAAACTGTTATTTTCTCTCTCTCTTAAATCTAAATTTAACTTAAAAAATTTCGAATGAATTTTAAGGATGAGAGAACAATATTCCAGTTAACTTTTCATCACCTAAAATCATATTTTCTATAAAAAGATAAAAAATCATTTTTTGAAATTTTATTTAAAATTAATTTTAAATGATCAAAAAACTTTATTTGAAATGAACTCGGTAAAATTTTGAGTAAGATTAAATTTTTAAACTAAGTTTAGTAAAATGAGCAAATCAAACAGGTTGCAAATGTTGAACCATCATGACTCCAACGACCGGATAAAATTGCACCCTGATGTGCATCGACCACTTTTTCAATACGTCCATTTCGATTGCAAATGTAAAATTTACCTAAAATTTACAAAAAAATAATATTCGAAATTAATATTTGATCGTTTAACTTATTTTCAAAAATACTAATTAATACATATTAAAATATTAATTAATGTATGTAATTACAATTATTAATTATAACTTTCGATAAAACTTCTCATTGTTACTGTTAGTCAAAATAAAATGTATTTTTTTAAAATTCCTTTTATTATTTCAAAACAAAAACAAAAATAGAATATGAAACCATCGGTAGATGTCAAAATGAAAATATCATTCAATTGCTGTTTGGTGCTATCATGTGGAAGCCATTGCATATCTGTCGGATACAACATGCTGAAAAATTTTTTTTCAACATTTCCTAATTTCCATTAAAATTTTACAATTACAAATTTTGCATTTAAAAAAATGCAAATATTCAAATTTTGCTGTTTTTTTTTCATAAATGAATATTTTATTCCATTTGATATCATTAAAATAGTATTAACGTTGTATAAAATAAGTTCAAGAAATAATAAAATGTGCGCTATTAATTAAGACTTTCGATTTAGGAATTTTTATTACCTGGGTAAATGCATTAACACCTGAACATCACCATTCATTAGATTCCACTTTAACACCTGTTGATCATCACCAACACTAATTAATTCATCACTTTTTATCCATGTGATCGCTATCACCGAATCACTATGTTTTGGTTCTCGTGCAATTGTCACCTTTAAACGCATTTTAATGTTTTGTCTGAAAAAATTATTTGCATTTATAAAGAAATTTAATTAGTGAAATAAAAGAAATTCATTAGAGTAATTAAAAAAAATTTAATTAAGTTTAATTAAGCGTTAAATTTATTAAATTCGAACAAAACTTGCATTATTTTATGACTCCCTTTTTCTAATGCTTATAAAATCTAAAAATTTTTGCTCAAAATCCGTTGCTAATAGTAACCTGCATTAAAAGGTATAGACGAAAGGTATATGCAAAGATATTGAGCATCTATTATATAGCGTAATTATTTTCTCTCGTAATTGACAACCATCAGAAATAACGAATAATTATTTACTGAAAAATGACTTGATTTCATGAATTTTATTTTTTGCTGAATTGATAGATTATTGAAATTATCTAAGATAATATGAGTAATGGATTACTGAAAATGTGAGGTGTTTTGGAAAAGAGAGAATAAAATTTATGTGATAATATAATTAAGTGATAATATGTGATAATATAATTCGATGATAATATGTGATAATATGTTACTGAAAATGCAAAGTGTTTTGAAAAAGAGAGAATAAAATTTATGTGATAATATAATTAAGTGATAATATATGATAATATAATTCGATGATAATATGTGATAATATGTTACTGAAAATGCAAAGTGTTTTGAAAAAGAGAGAATAAAATTTATGTGATAATATAATTAAGTGATAATATATGATAATATAATTCGATGATAATATGTGATAATATGTTACTGAAAATGCAAAGTGTTTTGAAAAAGAGAGAATAAAATTTATGTGATAATATAATTAAGTGATAATATAATTAGGTGATAATATGTGATAATATGTTGCTATTCATTTATTTTTTGGATTTAATTATTGCAGAAATTTTTTATTGTTTTAGGTTTAAAATAGAAAAGAAAAAAATTCACTCAACTATCTACTATTTATATTTTACAAATTATATTTTATATATATTATAAATTTTATTCAAATTTCAATCTTCAAAAATTATAAATAGTTAAAACAAAAAAGAGAAGACTAATAAGTGAATGATTTAAATGAATAAGTAAATTTTTTAATTATATTATCCTATTCAAATAAATTATTTAACACAATTTTTTACATCCTAAACTGTCACTAAAAGTAAAACTGTCACTAATAAAAAAATTAAAATTAAAATTGAGTGTTTACTTTAGAAAAATAACTCATTTATTAATTGATTATTGCATTTAAATAATTTTTCAGTTTTAATTTTAATTATTTTTTATTAGATTTCAATTATTTTAATTTAAAGTCCTTTTATTCAATATTTTAGTCTATTTTGAAAAGGCTTGTTTGTTTCGTCTAGCGCTTTTTATTTACACTAATTGTCGATATATTTTAAGGCCTAACCACTTATGTGACAGTATTATAGGCATATACTATTGAGTGTTTACTTTAGCATTTTATATTTGTTTATTATTGCATAATTATTATTATGTTGTTTTGAGAAACAAAGATATTTATCATCGATTATTTTTTTGATTATTCTATTCTATGAAAGTTCCTTCTTATCTTCTTTTTACATTAGAAAAATTTTTTAATTTTCTTCTTTGTTAAGTGAAAAATGAAAACTTCACTTATCTAATCTTTCTTCTCGTATCTTTCATGCCTTTCTATCTGCTCAGATGTTAAATAAGATTTTCATTTCTCAGTAATTTTCACACTTTTCTTCTGTGTGAGATTATCTTGTTTCATAGTGGTAACGGCGTTATATGTGGGAGTTAATTCAATTAAACATCAATATATGCAGGTAGCGGAAAGAGGGGTTGGTTGGTTTTTGTTGGGCGGTGGTGTTGTACGGGTAGCGTTTGGTACGTACCTTCTTATGGAATGTGGGTGAGAGAAGGAATGTAACAGTTAATGGGAGAGAGGAAGGAAGAAGGTGAGAGGTTTATGATAGGGTTATAGAGGAAATTTCATAACAAAAAAATAGAAAAAATAGAATGCTTGATTAATTTGGACAAATGGAACATACAGCTATTTTAACCATTGTTACTACTGATTGAAATATTATTGGTTAAAGATGCTATATTTATGAATATGAAGTGCTGTTAATTAATTTGTTAATTATAATCTCGAAATCAAATTAATTGAAAAAATGATGTCTTGGAAGTAAAGTTGTGTCAGAAGTGCAAGAAAGGAAAGGGAAAGTAACTGGTACTAATAATATATAAACTTAACATGACTCACATACTATTTGCTTGTCCTGAATTTTTAATTAAGAATTATAATTTTCCTTTTAAGGTTCAGTACCTCATACTCATGGATTTCAACTTTAAGAAAATTGCAAGCGATGCTAGCGGCTTTTTCAGTCGCGCCAAACAGGTGATTAATTTGCATCAGATAAAAATGTATATTTCTTTGAATAGTTGCTTGTTTATTAAAATCTAATATCATGAGAGAATTTAATAGGTTTAAAGTTTTCGTAACTAATACGCAGTGTCGCGGTTAAGTTAGCGTTCAGCTAAGAATTTTTAATTATATTTTGGATTAGTGTACTGGCCATAAATATTCTGAAAGAAGTAATTTTAGGATAAAGGCTAATTTTGGCTCGGAGATAGGATAGGTATGGAAAATGGGATGTTCGATCGTGAATGGACCCAGCATTCTTTTACTATTCTATAACTGTATATTGTTTGTGATGGACTTTTATGATTGCAGTTGACAGAAGAAACTTTTCTAAAAGCTGAAAAAACAGAGCTCGATGCACACTTCGAGAATCTTCTACAGAGAGCGGATAAAACGGAGGAGCATACAAAACGATTACTTTCTGCCATGGAAAGTTACCTTCAACCAAATCCTAGTAAGTTATTGAAGTTTTCTTAATCTAAAGTATGGATTTCACTTATAACCAATTTTAGCCTCCGTAGTTTTTGAATTTTGTAATATAGAATGCTTTTTCGCAACATGTATGCAAATTCCTTCGTCGGCAGATTTTCGTATTAATCAATATCCCAGCAATTCGGATGGAGGAAGTGTTTTACGAGAAACTGGAATTGCGCAAAGAAAATCGTCTAAATAATTTGGAGCAATTGGCACAAGCAATGAACGAAGCTGGTAATGAATTCGGGGCAGGCACACCATACGGTAAATTTTTATTAAGCTCTTCGGAAAAGATTTCCAAATTCATAAACCAAGGCAGTCCGTAAATTCATCTGATAAACAGCTTTTGTTTACTGCCAGATTTTTCTCCTGCTAAATTTTTAAATCAATTTTTATTTCTCGGCTTCATAAATCACGAAGCAAAAAGGACAAATTTAAGAGGCATCATTGCTTTGCGAACACTTATTATTCGTACCATATATGATTTAAACAGTTTCAATGTCCTGCGGAACTAATATTTTCATGAATGCAATTCTTCATATTTTATTAAGCCGGTTGTCAATGAATTAGGTGAATTCATTCTGCGTAAATCTATAATTATTTAGGAAGTGCGCTATTGAAGACAGCTCAAGCGGAATTCAAATTAGGTGCTGGGGAAAGGGACTTTATTAACAGCTGCGCAAGTAATACACTTCTGCCAGTGCGACGATTCCTGGAGGGCGACATGAAAACTATTCAGGTGCGACATTTTGCTACTTGTACTTTCAGAGTGTTAGGATCATTTTCATAATGAATAACTCCATCAAGTTTGCGTATGTAGTTAATACATGAGTAAGGCACACTGATTATTGTTTCTGAAAAGTTAATGGTCTTTGGTCTGTCTCAAAGTTAAATTTTGCAGCGTGAACGAAAAGTTCTAAATACAAAGCGCTTGGATCTGGATGCAGCCAAAAGCCGATTAAGAAAAGCGAAGTCAGTAGAAGCGCAAAACAATGTAAATTTTGCATTGCACTGTTTTATTAGTTCTACTGTTATTTTTAAAGAGATTTACTTCTAAAAGTTTTGAAAAAGGATTATTTTGATAATCGCTATACATATGTTTAAATTCAATTGTGGTAATCAGCATACATATGTTTAAATCCAGTAAGTGTGTTCTTGGATCCAAACCCCATGAAAGTAATTTATAGTCGAAAGTAAAGAGAGTTGAATCAAATTTTGTCCTCCAGAAATTGTATTTTACCAATTTTCACTTTTTCTTCCAATATAATTATTGCAGTTGGGAAGTTCTTTTTCATCGGAACAGGTTTTTTTTTCCGGTCTTTTGTTGTTTCTAATATATACAATTTTTCTTGCATGTGTGGTGCACCTGTATTTGTGGTAGAGCTTTGTGTTATGTTAGTTATATCGTCAAATGATGTTGTAATGAATTGTGTCTAAAGTGGATATCCAGTGTATGGCTTAATTCCTCGTAAGAGAATGGAATTAAGAATATGAAGCAAAGTCGGATCTGACCAGCATGAATAGCTGAATTTTATAAAATAGTTTGTTGTATGTGACAATACGTATCAGTTAAAGTTTACTCTTACGTATGGTGAGAAACATGATGCATGCATGAATATTAAGATAAGGGCTTTTTAATAAAGGCCTTTTTGTAGCATTAGGCACACAATGATGCTACTTTTCTAGAATTTATTGCTCTTGTGTGCGCTATTTTGCCAAGCAAATAATTTGCATCTTTGTAGGCAGAAGCCGATTTACGTGTGGTGCAAGCAGAATTCGATAAGCAGGCAGAAATTACAAAGCTACTTCTTGAAGGAATACAGACTACTCACGTAAATATGTTCTTATGTTTTAATCGTTATCAATCGAGTTTCCCCCGATATTTTATTAGAAAGTTGAGCATCACGCTTCATTACTTTTTGCAAATGTCTCGATCAATTAAAATATTCTACTTCTGTTCTTTAGGAATTGCAGCTGCAAACTTATTTGTTTTCAAACCCTTCAAGAATTTCAGAATAATCACTTGAAATGTTTACGCGATTTTGTCGAATCTCAGATGTCATTTTATGCTCTTGCACACCAACATATGGCTGAGTTACAACGAGAACTTTCGGGATGATTTTTTTTTTCTCAGAAAGTTCGATGTTTTGTCATTCTTAGTAACTGCATAGGAATTCTGAAAAGAAAAACGAGTGAAGGGATATTTCTAATCTGGAAACATTTTTAATACTTGGTCTGCTTTTCTGGAAATATCGAAAACATTCTTTTTTGGAACTTCCTTGCTTGAATATAGTGTATTTCTACAGCTGCGTAATGCGCCATTACTGTTAAGGAATCTTTTGAGCACTTACGCTAGTATTTATTTTCTCTGTAAACATAATTTGGGTAATTTGTGCACAGCTTCATCAAGATCATATTCACTCATTATTGGCTTGGCTTCAGCTTCAAACGACATCATCCCCAGCGCTGACGAATGAACGAATTTTTCCTCTCCATCTATATATATTTAGTTTGAGGTTATTTTTCATTTTTCTTCTTGATTCTTTTTTTATTCCGTTGACTGATGCCAAAATCATTTTTCTGCTAATTCCTGTAGCAACAGTCAGGAGTTCTGGGGAAGCCGAGAACTAAAAAATATATAAGCAAAAAAATTTCTAATGAAAAAAAATCTCACCATTTAAGCGATGAGAATGAGAATGAGAATGAGAATGAGAGGTAGGAAAGGATATAGTATTCAACTAAGGGTTAAAGCTTCATGATGAGAACCCTATTATTTTTTGCCTTGAAATTTATTTATTATTAAGTACATTCCAGCCAAATTATCATTAGGAACACACACACACACACACCAGATTTTGCCATCGATTGTCCAAAATTTTGGTGTTTATTATCTAGTTTGTGGAAAATTACCCAATTTCTTTTGTAGTTATTTAAGCTTCCTATAATATTGCATCACTTATTCTTGTTTTTGGAATCATTTAAACGTTTTCATTTTTATTATTGTGTTTTTGCTTTATCGCTTGATAGTTTTGTTGTTCAAACTAAGTGGCTTAATATTCCAGTCTGGTAAGCTACACCGAACATGCCATTTTTTTAATGACTAGCGAGAGGAGATATTGTTAAATCATTGTTCAACGAAACCATATATTGTGAAATCTTTGTATGAGGTCTTTTGAACCTCTGAAATTTCTTAATTTATTTCTCTATTAATTTATCTCTTTCTCTAGTAAAATTTTTTGCTTAGTTTTTTTTCTAATATTTTCGATGCTTTTTTTGGCTTTTTCGCAAGCTCCTTTGCTTGACGCGGTGTCTTATTCGCAAGATTATATTCTGTGTTGTTCATTTTCAAATATCATAAATATATGATTTATTTTTGATTGCCTGAACACAAAGATAGATAAATGAAAATAGCAAGTACAGAGTTATTTCGTCCTAGGAAACAAATGTGTTTTTGGGGAGAACAAATAGTAGAACTTATAGAGGCTGATGAAGATGTATATATAGTCTGGTAAGTTACAAGGGCATCTTGACATTTCTCTTCTGGCTAGCGATGTTGAATAGTGGTGGAAGGAGATCTAACAGGGAACTTTTCTTTTGGAGTTTCATCGTGAAGTTTCACTAATTTTTGTTCAGTGGGAATCATGTTATTTTTGGCATTATTTTAGCCAGAAGTCCGCTACTGATCTTCGTTTGATTGAATTTAGTTTGGAATCTCAAAATAAACTGAAGGCAGCAGATGACTCTCAAATTTGAGATTTTTATCTTCAGGACTGTATTATTCCGACGTAAGTTTTCGACTTCATTTGATAAGATTGTTTTCAAAATGATGGTCATCCAGTATAACGACGGTATGTAGATTCGTGATCTAGCCTTTTTGGAAGGTCTCGAGGCGAGGTATGCTCGGATATTATTCAATTATGGTCTCATTTCGAAGCCAAAACTTTCAAAAAAAATGAAGTGAGGCTTTTTTCTTCTGTATCCTTTATGTAACGCTCTAAATGCTCCAAAATTCCTTGGTTCTAGGCTAAATTTAAAAACTTTGCATTATTGGCTTTATCTAAATTCTGGTGGAATATAATGGAAACACTTGACCTAATTTATGGTCTCTCTATGTTTCAAAATAAGATTAGTGAGGTGTAATATATTTTAGTTTACCCGTACGCAAATGCCGCACATCTTATTTTTCAGGTCGTCATTATATATGAGTTTCATATAATGGATAATGGCCGAAAAGTGTAGGAGAACATAAATTCTTCTATCCTATCTTAAGCTAATTTAGTTTTACTATAAATGATCTCTAGCAATAATAAAAGTTCAAGAATTTTCGACAGTAAGTCTAAATTCAGTGTATAATTTCTTTATCAGCTGTCAATGATTATCATTCTTTCAAATTTAACATATGTTATTGGAATAATTCCGATAAGTTCGTTGTTTCGAATAGATCTGCAAAAAAAAAATTAAGAAATATGAAATGATTTTTTAACTGATAAGATCCTGTCATCCTTTCTACAAGTGTTAACTTCTTTTAATCAAATACAAGCTTTTCCTTATCTTTCTTCTATAGACGGAGGATCATTGAACCAATGATGTTATTAATGTTAAGATTTTTTAGCATGAAAGTTTATAACCGAAAATTATCTATCAGAAAATTTGGTATATCTTTAACAATGTTAGCTTCTGTTCTTTGAAGCCCTGATTAGCACATAAATTTGAAGTATATTATTCATTCTAACACTAGCCTCATTATTATCAGTGCTTTTCAAACAAAAACTTCCCCAACATACATTTATGGCATCTGTTTGCTATGTGGACAAGCGCAGAGACATTGACCATTCCATATCGTTCCTGAATATTGTATGGGTTGAGATTTTCATTCACTTTTCAGTAAATACAAAGCGAAGTTTCTAGGGATCAGAAGATTTATACTGCTTCTTACCGGTATTTAGAATAAGTTTATTGGAGTATTCACTTCGTTGCTCGTGCCATTGCCGTTGTGATTGTTGGCGCTCGTGGCGTAGGTGATCCACATGACTTTGTCGAACACATTGCAATATAGATGCTTGAATACGATTCTCAAACTCTTCACGAGCGCTACAAAGACAAGCCCGAAGTCGAGAAGCATCGGTTGAATGACATTGCGTTTGCAAACGAACACTACGAAAAATATTTATTGTAGCTTGAAATCCTAATTCATTTCGTTTTAATGTTTTTGAATCAAATAATTCTAATTTCATCACTTCATTTTCAATATTTCGAAATTGTAACTCTCTGAATATAAACCATCATTTTGAGCATTTATTATATTGCCACCCTAAAGCCAGGGAATGTAAACTGCAAGTTGATCGTTTTCAAAACAAAATAGTTTTGTTTCATACAAGAGAAATGAGTTAATTTAAAATTAGTCGTATTTCTCAGAATCAAAGTGACTTTCTTCATTAAAATCATATCAGTCTTATAGCTCTAAATTAATTAATTTCAATCTTAAGAAAATAAGCATTACGAAATTATGCTTATATTTTCATGCTAAAATGAATGTAACAAACTGATGCATTTTCACCTTCGAATACATGATCTGAGAACATGATCTCGAAAAATTAATAGTTGTTGATAAAATCTATCGTTACTAAGTTGTCGACGATAACACTGTATTTCATTTTCTTCCAGAAGGCAAGAATCGCTGGCATTATTTCTAAAATTCCTTAGAATAAGTATGATTTTACAAATATAAGCTTGAACTTTGTAAAAATTTTAAAGAAATAACATACAATTTCAAATCAGCTGAATCGATAAATCTATTAATACCGCTACCAAATATTCGTCCTGCTTTTTCCTACAAAACAACAACAAGGATAATTTTGCTAAGAATATTTGTACAAAGTGCAGTAGCAAATTTTCTTAAGACAGTTGCTGAAATTTTTACGAAATGAATATATCCATCTAAAAGTAAATTATTATTAATTGCTTTCAATATCGTCAGCTTTTTATAAATCCATAAGAAATATTGTAAAAAATACTTTTACGAGGCTTTCTAATGATAATACAATCCGAAGTCTCAATAGCTAACCCTAATTAAGCATGCTAATGTAGCCGAATTTTCGAGATATGGATAAGTCGGAATTAGCTGAGGTAATCCCCAAAGATGATCAACAAATTCCAAACTATAAACTGTGCGAGCGTAAATTGCATCTTCTGCAATCAAATTATATCATTCAAAAAAACAATAAATGCAGTGAAGATCAACTCATTATCAAATATCAAACAATATCAAATATCAAATACCACAATATCAAACAATTTATTTACCCTTCCATAATATCATGATAATTATTTCGATTAATTTCAGCGAATTTTCAAACGTTTAATTTGAAATAAAAATTATTTTCTATTACCATCAATTAAAGTAGGCTTGAAATCCGGAAACTGTGCTACCGGCTCTTCTTGATTAGTACTATCAAAGCAATCTTCCAATGCAGATAAATATCGATGTGCTGAATCGATAAAATTATCAGATTTCAAAATTTCTTGATTGAATGAAGCACGAACTGCACGTATCGATCGTTCAAAACAATTCTCGAACAATTCGAACTCATAATTACATCTACATTTAAATACAATTAATAAACCTTTAAGATAAAGAATTTTTAGTATTCTTATCCTGAGATAATTGCTAAATGTAATTTGAAATTATTTTTTAATTTGTTAAATGAAAATAAATGCAATTTTTGATTATACATTTGTTTGGTGAAGCAATTTCGAAATGCAGAATGTTTGGTTTCTTGTATGAGACGTTCATATTCTTCTGTTATTATAGCACATCGTTGTAATTGCTCCGCACATTCATCTGAGATCTACAAAAATTCAAATTATTAATTTACTCAATCATTACCAATACGATTCACAAGTATTTGTATTATTTTATAGACAAATAATATTAATTTCTTATATCATTCATTCCCTAAATAATTTCTTAGTACTCGTAGAATAAGAAAATTTCATGCTGTCATTATAATACATAAATAAGAAGTAAAAATTTATGATATTTAACACAAAAAACAAAACCATGTGATTTCCAAGAAATGATTCAGTTAAATAATTAAATACTGTACTTTAATGACTCTATACTATGATTGATTTTTAATTCCTATAAGAAAAACAATATATCCGGAAAAGGATTTATTTGAAGTACTGAATGTTGAAACAGCAGGCTCCCTGAATAATTTCATAGTTTCGTAGAATAAGGAAATTTCATGTTATCATTATAATACATAAAGTAAAAAGTAAATTTATGGTACTTAACACAAAAATAAAACCATGTGACTTTCGAGAAATGATTCAGTTAATTGATTCTATAATATACTTCAACAATTCCATACTATAATTGATTCTTCATTTTCTACATATATTCGGTAAAGGATTCATTTGAGGTGATGAATTCTTGAAATGATGGGCAGTTAATCAAAATAGCTATCAAGAGAGATAAAAAGAAAATGTAAGAAATGAAATTAAACTTGATGTATATGAAATGAATGAAGTATGATGCGGATCCATAGTCCTTACTTATTTGTAAATAGAAAAGTTTATTTTGATCACATACCTTAATACTTAATATAAGTATGATAAAAGTAATTGCATCATGTAGCACTTGAACTTTCATATTAATTCAGAAATTCGATACACAAAAACCTATAAATATTGATTATTAAAAGTCATTTTTGTTATTTAAAAAATCAGTTTAAGAATGTATCTTTAAGACAATAACAGATTGACCCAAATATCTAATTAATTTCCACCCATCAAACTGATTTCGCTATGTTTTAAGAATTCTATACTATATCGTATTTAAAAGGAAGAATAGAATTTAAGATTCTAAATTATACCTAATTTTTGATAGTAGGTTTGAGAATTAAAAAGGAATGAATTATCGCTATACAGTAAGAACTAATTAATCGATTCCATTTAAAATATTTATAAATTATAAAAAGTGAAAACTCCGAACCATATCACACGATATAATGAATCAACAATGAACAATAATAACTAGCCAGGGATACTAACACGTTTATTTGATATGTACATGTAGTGTTAGTAGTTGTAGTACCTGTTAACAATTCATGTTTTGTATTATTCGAGGAGTAACAATTAATGAAAAATTCGAGTACCATTAATGGGAAATTCAATTCGAGTGGTAACATATCAATCGTATCGGAGTATCATCTCATTCTATTATAACGTACAGGACGAATCGTTGTCAGCAATAATTCATGAATTTTTCTACCAATTACGGAGATGAAATGTGTAAAATGAGGAATGTGTATAACTCTAAATCAATTTGAAATTAAAAAATACCGTTTAACAAAAAATTAAACGGTTATTGTCAATGAATTTGGGAAACCGTCCGACAAGAAAAATTATAATGAAAGGGAAATTTCGGATGCAGAAAAAATGACGAAGCTATTTCAAAAGTGTAACCTGAAGCGCGCTTTGAATTTCTGCGTAATATCTATAAAAATTGTCCAAAATCCAAAAACTACTGTTTGGCTTTCTTCCATCACTGGAAAACTACATTTAATGCTTTGCAACACATAAGCTTAATAATCCAAAGTTTTATTGTTAATAATTGAAAATTACGTTATAAAGCAGACCGGTTACAGAAAACCTGTGATACCAAGTAATGAAAGAACATTAAAAGCATAGCATGAATAATAATTTCGAGTCCACAGAAAAATAAATCTATCGATAGAACAAAAGTGGCATATAACAGTCTGAATTTGTTTCTCAATCAGGATTCTGAATCCGCCATCGTTATTTTTATTTTATATAGTTTTGTATTCAATAAAAAATCATGCCACTAGTGTGGTGCTTACAGCAAGAAGTCGAAAATGTTCCCAAATACAGATTAATTATACCTTCAAAAGCAAAAAAAACATAATTCAAACTTCCAACTTCAACGAAACATATCAAATTCCGTATAACAAAGTCACCAATGTTGACCCCAAATAATGAACCTATAAGTCGATCAAAGACCACACCGGCAATAAAAAGTTACCGGGTAACTTTGACAACAGCGATTTTTTACAATAACATATGAAAAAAAAAGTTCAGGCATCTAGAATGACATAAAAATTTCGGAATTACCAATAATGGTGCGAACACAAACATTGAATTGAGTATGGCAGTTAAAAATCAGTATGTCATTAAGTAAGGAGAGATAATTTACTCAATGACAGACAGCATTTTATTGAAGACGAGAAATAGAAGTGCTTAATGATTCGCTATTACCTATCTTTCCCACTTCACTTGATGAAGCATTGTTGTATCGATTTTTGTTTCCAATTTTAGCACACATTTATTTGTCGTGTTAGAAAGACTGCGGAAGGCATATTTGGAAGATTTCTTCTAATTTTATCTATTGATCGATAAGCTTACTACTGAAGTAGTGAGCCCTGCAGGATGCTGTGATAAGTCACTTCCATCCAAACTGAATGAAACATAAAATCAAAAATTTCTTTGAAAAACTTAAAAAGCAAGTTAAATCTTGCTCAATGGAAAAAGATTACGGCATTCATTTATTAATGTGATATGCTTATCACAGCATTCCACAACGTAAACCTAACAACGAAAAATTAAAAGAAAAGCGAACAATGAAGTGAATTACTATGTAAGGAGCATTTCGAGAAAGAGAAGCAGAAACATTAACAACAAAAGAAAATTTACAAAGAAATAGAGAAAGATATAAAATTTGAAAGATGAATAGCATTATTTTAAAGCTTACAAGTAGATGACACGGGAAAATGACCGATAAATCACTATTTATAATAAAATGAATAGCAAGCAATGCTGTACCATTTTTTCTCAAATATTGGACTATTGTATATTCTTAAATTCTATGAAAGCTCGCACAATAATCTTCAGTTATGAGCGAAAAGATACGCGAAGATATTAAACATCTGATACTAACAAAAATGCTTGATACCACTTTTTTTTCCCGTTTTGTAAGAAAAACGATTAAAATTGCTATAAATCAGTACTCTAGTCAAAAAATACAATTGGAACTTAAACAACACCCAAACATGCACGAAGTTAATTTTAAATGAGGTAGTAAACTGATATCAAAGTGATAAATGTTCCTAAATATGCGATATTCCCTGTTCTATTCATTTATCAATTAATTGCATTGGATTTCGTAAGAAATTACTCAATTCCATTTCTAATTTAAGAAAAATAAATCGATGAAACAAACTTACTAATTGCTCGGTTTTTCTCAAACATAATTCTCCAGCTTTCTAGCGTTTCTGTGAGGACTTTATAATAATTCCACAAACCAACTACGCGATTATTCAAAGATATTTCACTTGCTTATTTAAGTTCAACCATATTTTCTAGGCATATAAATTGTTTCCCTTACTGCATGTCTTCAAAATTCACTTGATAAAAAAAAGTTATTTTGCTTAAATGAAGATAAAAAAATATTTTTAAACACCGAAGGAAAAATTAAGAGCGACAAAAAGAAGCAATATATGTGTGTTTATCGAATAATTTGAAGGCTTATTCAAAAAATTGAAAGAACAAAGGATTAAGCAAATTAACCCGCTTGTAAAAAAGACAGGGAAGAATGAGACAGTTAAGATGCAGTAGAATTGTCTGCGATAAACTTACCTCTAATTATCAGAGACAAAATACTATTTTTTCCAGAATAATCTTAAAAATACAGAAAGTACCAGAAATTACTCGACGTCATTTATGATCGGTCTTCAAAGCATAATTGTTATTAACAATCGTTGATTATGAATCCAAAACCAAGGATCCATAGAACGCCGAATAAAATTGGCTAGTCAGCACTGATAAAAAGGCCTTAATAGCTCTTTTAAAATCCAGGTTAAAACTTCTATTTGCCACAACTGCCTTTATTTCGAGCTGCTGTAGAGAAATTGTATTAAGGCCTACAAGAATGGAAAAGACCTCGACGTCCACCGGGATCAGTTAGCACTGGTTCACCGTAGTTTGATTTATAATCTACATATTCCTGCAAAATGTACATAAAAGGTGCATTGGAGCAAAAAATAGTAAAATTAATGGTGATTATGATCAAAATATTCGTCAATTCTCATATTAACATAACATATCTGCTAATTCTTGATATTTTCGAGATATTATGATCCAACTTTAATTGGTAAAAAGTTTTTGTGGGCTAACAGATAGAAAAAATAAGTACATGGACACTATTTATTTTAACACAAGCACCTAGCATCGTACAATACACTTCAAGCATATCATCTGGAAAAAGCGCTAAACACACCTGGTGGCTCATCAAAATTTTGTCAGACTGAAATCTGACAACGTTCACTTTCATCCGGGTTTCTTCCGAGATATGCCCACGATAACCGCCCTTTCTCATCAAATTATCTATCGTTTCTGTATGGTCCCAACCTGAAACAGTGAAATGGTGCAAACTTCTGCAATCCAGTAAAGCAACATTTTGCTAACTACATATATAAATCCCATAATGTCAACAATCCATTCCAGACAATCTCGACCTTTCTCAAAATTAATTAAAATAAATTCGTTTTTATTCAAACTGATAGGAAAGAAAAAGGAACCTTGTTCACTTGCAACTTCTGGAAGATATACAGCATCACGATAGTGATGACTGTCTTGAAATTCAATCCTGAAACCAAATTCTTTCCCATGTATTTCAGATAAATAGAATAAGTTGATGATCATTTCAGTAAATTGAAGGAATTACAGCATGCGAAGAGAAGTTACGGTTCTTATACTTATATCCGCACAAATATATATATATATATATGTTAAGCTTCGCAAAAAAATAGAAAATAAAATGAAAAACATTCTACATAACCGTATTCCAATCACCACCTAACATTAACGAATCAAAAAATTGCATACCTGATTCCATGAATGCCAACAACCCAGTCGCGATAATCTCGAGCTTTCTCAAAATTAATTAAAATGCTCACAGTACAGTGTAACTGATCAACTTCATGCAAAGTGATCGGATCAAAACGTGAATCTTTGAAGGCACTGAAAAAACAATCAATTTCGAAAGATAGAAAACTCAGAAGTAATTTGGTGCCCAAAATCAGAATTTACTTGTGCTCAAAAAACCTTGATAACCATTACTGTACTTTTTAGTTTCATTTTTAATTTTTCTAGAAATGAAAGATTTTCCTGATTTTGAAAATCTAATAATACTAATTAATTATCTTTGTTTAAAATGGTAGCCTGTTATCTTAGGGACAATTTTTTAGTCCTAAGTATTATCATGAACACAAGTATGGTGCTCTACCAATATACTGATCATCTTAAGAAACCAATACAATGCTAAGAAAACATTTTTTTAATTTTCAAAACTATATTTCTTATAACTCTATGTGTTAATCAAAACGAATTTGTACAGGAAGCAAGGGTAGAAGAGAGAGTGGTAAATTTGTGAGTTATCAAAACCACTACTTCATGTGCTATGCAAATTTTTTTGGATCAACGTTTCCAGAAAGAGAAGTTCAAGAATAAATATAAAAACACCATTTCTGGTCAAGAAAAGAAAAATTTTTAAAAACAGTACGGAATGTTCTCACATAGAATCGAACAAGGAAACAACAAATTTGATTCGTTTACTTTGGACCTAAACAAGAATGGGTTCAGTTCGATAAAACTGGGTCTCAGCATATCTCACTGCTTATGAGAGCGCCATCTAGAGTAAATTTTACAATATTATCAATATTATATTTACAACATTCTTTTAGAATGTTCACAAGAAAAACATTTTATGGACAAAGCACATTAAATTAAAGCTATTCCTTAATAAGAACTACTAATGGCTTACATTGCACAAATGGAAGAAGCCAAAGATAAGTTCAACATTAGAATTCTGGATTTGACTCTCTCGTAATCTCTATTATAGATAATATATTATCAATGGTAATCTCTACTGTTCAAATCTATACGTTATGTATACCACGTAATGCTGAAATGTTGAAGCTTGCTCATTCCACTACCACTAAATCGTTCCCTAGTTTTCTTCCTCCTCTTTTCATTTAGCGCTTGGCATATTCAGAGTGCAACAACCATGAAATGATTGTGGGCGTAAGTGCAATCTTTCACGTCTGCTTATGTGGATCTTTTAGGCATGAGATAGTGATTTATTGCACAACTATCAAAGACCTTAACCATATTCAATCACTGCACTGAATAAATTATTATAACCCGAGCATATATCCATTAAGTACCAATCCTTATGTAATGTATCCATTCACTAAGTACCAATCCTTACTTTATATAGGTGGAAGATAGTCAATATTTCGTGATTCAGAAATATTATGCATCATTTAATAAGAATCGTTCAAAAGAGAGAAACTGAAATTATAACA